AAATCGAGTAGTTAGAAAAATGAAATATTCTTTAGTTATGTGCGATTTAGTTTCATTTAAGTTGTCTGTATCTTACATAATATGTTGCTTTGGTTTTTGTATTATTAAAATAACATTTTCGTTAGAGTTTGGTACAGGCCTGCGTACCGTAACACAGTTTTTTAAACTGCTACTGTATTGTATCGTATTATATAACTAAGCAGTAAATAAAACAAATTTAAAAAAATGCTTTCGTTCGAAGTTCAGGTCCTAAGCGAACGTAGTCTGCAAAATATTGCAAATAGTGTATCTATCTTGGCGAATGATGAATCTGCGAACTGTCAAACCATAGCTGTTTAGGCATCCCCACTGGGCATGTTACAATAATTAAGACAGTTATATTGAAATTAATATGTACAATTCAAAAAAACAATAAAAATGACAATTGACAATCTACATAGAGAATTTTCATAAAGCAAAAATGTCAATGTCATTTTGAACGTGTGTAACGTTATGAAGCAGTTCTTCTATAGAAGATCCTTTCCTTGATATATCAAGGAAAATAAAACATTAAAAATGGTGTTTAAATAGTATTTATAGAATAGTACATTTAATTTTGTAGTTACATATTCAATAATTCAACAATAGTAATACAATAAAATAGTCTATTTCTAATATACACGATTTATAATGATAAATCAATTTTATAAAATATGTAACTGCAAGATTAGAAATAAAATAAATGTATTAGAAATCGCTACTAGTGTGACCACGCGTCTCCACTAACCCGAAACAGTGTCAGCCAAACGCGGAGAGCTTGGCGTTTGCACATTATGACTACGTGGATGTTGCCATAGTATTAATTTATACCCGTTACTGACCACTAATGACAAAATTCTAAACAAAATTACTTCATAAACATCTTGAGGAAATTAAATATTTTAATAAAAAAATTAAGATTTATTTACTGTCTCAACAAGAGCCGCGTAGTCGCGATAAGCCTTTTTTGAATTTTGCACAAGGCTCACTTTGTGTTGCGCTAGTGTAGAAAAGTCAAAACCGTTTACGACGACATCGTTTAGAACAACATACCGGTTATATTGACCAAAATCAAAGGCCCTGGCTGAATTCTATGTATTAGGTACAGTAACAACGTCATCGACTGTTACGACTATTTTTACGACCAAATATGAGTAGTCCCTTCAATGTCGTTATAACAGATTTTGAATGTAGTTAAAATAAAGTTTGAAAAACAAGCAGGAGGCTCGTCTGATCTTAAGTGATACGTCCATAGGCATTCTCAACGCCAGAGGTCTAGCGAGTGCGTTGCCTTTAAAAAATTGCCACTTTCATTGAAGAAACCTAAACTTTTTTAAGTCTGGGCCTCAGATTTCTAATCTGTTTCATGATCTTTTGTCAATCTAATAGACAAGTAGGTGATCAACCTACTCCTGTGCGTGACACACGCCGCGGTCGACATTTTGTATCTAAAGCAAGCTAGTTTCCTCACGATGTGTTCCTCCACCGTTCAAGCAAATGTTAATTGCGCACATAGACAGAAAGTCTATTGGTGCACAGGTAGAGATTTAACCTACGACCTCAGGAATGTGGGTCGCACGCTGGAGCCAACACTTATTATTCAAAAAAAAATAGGTTACTATGAAAACCTTTCTCTTCTGATAGAGCTAACTTTTATCGTCGCACTCATGTGACTCTCCTTTTTTGTCTTATTTAAGAAAAAACAAGACAAAATCATCAAGAAAGGTACAAAGCGTAGCAAAAAGGCTAAAAGGTTGGGCAACCATACGATTTAGTCCCGACGGAGCCGTCCGTATTGTCACCCCACCCGGGACAACACAAGGAATCGAATGGAAGATTTATATTGTTTGCATTGTCTTTAATCTTGTTTTTCTTTTACCGCAGTGTGAGTCTTTTAAATATATTTCTTTATTTATATACCCAATACGATAGTGTCATACAATTAAAATTCATTAAATGTAAAAAAATATATATGTAATGTCAGTACTTGATTGTGACGTCCAACACTGTCACTAAATTTGATATTATGACACTGAGACATCATTCACGATCTAGCTTAACTTAAAACTATTAAGTCATTTAAAACTCACCTGGTTTACTAAAAAGTATATTTAACATAAGAAAGTGTCTAATAACATTACTTAGTCTCTATTAAGGGGAAGACACTCTATTCTTGCGTTAGATTTTTATGTTTTTAATATTATTATTTTTTTCTCATGTAAGTGACATGTATGTTTAAAATGAAAATAAACTTCTTTAAACATAAATTTTCTGCCACGTTGGTTGCAAAAGAATGTTCGTATTAATGTTACCGAGTGCTACAGATGCGTTACCCTACATGCAGTAGAAATCCTTGTATAATTTCACTACCAAAGCAATGAAATTTTAGCATCGGCCGATATTGAAACACAAATCTTTCGATATTTCAAATATTCTTCTGATTGTAACCTTTGTAAGTTATGGTACAAATTTGGTGGGATTGTGGTTTTAAATTTGTTTACATTTTGCTTGATCTGTAATTTTTAATTTTATAACTATATTTTTCAATACAGATTAGCAAAACAATGAGGTAATAACGTTTGTTTTTTTTAAATGTTGTACTGGCAGTTAATGAAAATCAATTAGTTGTTAACAACAGTTGTTACTATAATCTGTGCTAGGATATAATATATTCTATATTTAAATATTGTTATATCTATGCTCTTACAAATAAAAAAATTTTATTCCGTCCAGTGTCTAGGAAATGGAAATTGAATGTCACATTGATGATACTGTGAAGAGCAAGAAAAAACACACAGCTTATTACTACTTAGCGGGGCCCTATGCACTATAAATCGTCATAGTACAATTAACTCTATACCATTGTTATAAAGTATAAATTTCAATGGCAAAATGTTGTCCCGCCTCAAAGGGGCGTCTCTTCCCCCTTCGAGAGAACGATTCATACTTTTTAATTTTTAATCAGTTTGTTGATTTGTACCAAAAAGTAAGTGACAACTTAAAATAGTGCCCAGTGACATTTTTAACATAAACTTTGATTTAAATGTAATTAATTATTATTTTGCCGTAAACAATTATAAAAACGATTGTTATGTATTTAAAAAAAACAGCAGATTAAATACTTCTTTGTACTTGATAATATAATGTTTTTTTTATACTAAGGCATTTTATAATTGAGAAGTTATTGTATCAAAGATGACCTGAATTTGTTTAACAATTTCGCTAGTAGATATAGATAATGTGTAGTCACTTTCAATCACAGACTACTCACAATTTTGTATATATTTTTTTTAAAGTTAACAGGTCATAATAGGTATATGCTATTATGACCTGTTAACGAGCCAAGTCTTATTAATTTAGTAGATATACACTGTAAGATATGAAGTAATTTTGGGTAAAGCATTATTACTATGATATGGACAAGACTTTTAACGCTATGGCAATTGAGGAAATGACGCCATTTTGATTTTTAATTGATTTACCTCTAGCGACCTAATAGAGAGTTTTTGTAATCTAATTTAGTAATCTAAATTTGGCAATAATATATACATTTGTATTTCAGATTTTCACTAGAATAATATTGTTTAGAAGACATTTTAAATACTGTCGATGTAATAGGTCTAGAATATTTCACTCATAGAATGAATTAATTAGCTGGGCACGTAAATTCACAATTTAAACGAAACGCATAAACAATTACTGATAAGATTTACGACAAACCGATGTGGTTAGTTTAACCCTATCACACTTAATAAATTATCATAAACATGCCAAACAGACTTTCAGACTTTTAATTTTCCGCAATTTTCCTTCGTGTATAAATAACACTTAGCCTTGCACCTTGGTTCGATTTTCGGTAAAATGTCGTTTACCTAATGTTTAATGTTTAACAGTTACCTAATGAAAATTATGTTGAAACGAAATGAAGTGAAATTAAACCTAAGTTTTTTTGTTAAAATTCATTTAACCACATTTTAACCCATGCATTTTAATATTATTTTTATTAAGAGTAAACATATATTCGTTCAGTTAAAAATTATTACATATAATTTCTTTGCCTATTGTATAGAAATCAAACCTTTAATAAGACCTATTAGGCGGGATTTATTTTATTTAAAAAATTCAAACCTTTTAAATTTCAATTTCAACCAATTAGGTATGAGGAATAGTTTAATAATAGTCATTATTTATTAGTGATTTGCTAATAATTTGCTTGATTAAATTTTTGATAGGCCGTATTTTATCTTTGTCGACACTGAATAAGGCTTAATAAAAATAGCAAAAAATTTGGTTATTAAGTAAAATTTCCATGAATTTTTGTCATGGAGGTCAAAATAAATTTATAAGTAAAGTTTAATATAAAAATATCAGTTTACTTTAGCAACAATGTATCAACTTTTAAAATATTCCTGATATTCTTTGAGACGAGAACTGAAGACGCGAAGTAATACGGCAGTTTATCTCAGCCCATTAATGTTTTACATCGTTATAGCCGATTAAAGGCTGCCATAATACAGAGTTATTTATTTATCCGATATAATAGCGAATAGTAATCGCCGGAACTTGCTGATCTCAAAATGCATCAAGTAACAAATACTTTGATACGATCGACTCACCGTTTAACAAGAGGCTTTTCAGTGCGGCGGTGAGCCATTTAGCGAAAATAGTTATCACGCGGAGAAAAACTCGCGAGAGAGAGGACGCGAAGTGCCGCCAGTGCGAAAGAGACGGTAGATATAAGAAAGAAATAATAAAAAGCGTGGTCGAAGTGTGGTGGCGTAGGGCGGGATGCAGGCCCCTCCCTGCGACGCGTCGCCGCCTCGGCGCTACTTGACGCCTCAGTCTGAACCACAGCGCGCTATCTCGCACGCGCGCTCGCCGTACTACCGCGCGTAAAAAGTTTGACTATTACCGAAACTTCGCGAACTATGTTATTTTAGAGTGGACGTCGCATCGTTTCAGTGTATTGGTTATGATCTGTAATGGGATGCACGGTCGGTGACGTGTGGGCCCGTAGCCGGTTTCCTGAGGTGGCCAGCTTGATGCTGCTTCAAGGTGAGGGCCGTGAACGGCCAGTCATGGACGAGGAATGCTCTGCCCGGCCCTGTGCCACTGACTTTTCTATTGCGGCTATTATGGCCAGAGACAGGCAGGAGAGACGAGAGAGACGAAGACATAGAGACCCTAGAGAAGATACTTTGACGCCATTAGGTGAGTCTTGTTGGATGTGAGAATAGGAGTAAAAAATAAAGAAGATAGAGCAGTGTCTTTTTTATAAAACATCTTCGTCTGTGACGCCATTAGATACAAAATGAAGTTTTAAAATTATTATAAGAGCTTAACATTTCTTGTTCTTCATTAACTTCCGTTTCCGATTTCTTTTCATTTGGTACCCTTGCCACATATTTCGATCTTATTATTGACTTAATATTTTGATAAGTATAATAAAAATATTTTTAAACTGTTTGGCACGTTTTAAGTGTCAGGGTGTGCAGTCCTAATAAATACCTAATTACTGTCGTAGATATTAACTTCCTAAAAGGACATACGAAATTATTAGTAGATACCGTTACAGTACCGTGTGAATTAAAGTCAAACATTCTTTTTCAAAATAAAAGAATTTTTGGGATCGCAAAATTAAAGCAAAACTATAGTTAAATTTAATAGGTTCATAGGTCAAATCATGACGGAGATTATTATTATAATATGAAACTAGTTTACTGAATCTGGTAAGATATATCAAAAAATATAATTATCAAAAATTCTTGCCAATACGAATATTAAAATATAAACCAAATTTACAATACAAAATAACCAGAACTATACTTCGACGATTTATTAACTGTTTTCCGCAAACAAAATATTAATTCAATCACATCCAAATAATTATTTCGAAGTGGAAAAATAAAATAGAATTTAGATTAGCAAAACTTAAAAATTTAGAAAAACTAGAGAAATAGAGTTTTCATATATTTATTCAATTTACAAAGATTTTGTAAACATTTCAAAGGAACATTTGATTTACGAAACAAGTGCAGTTTTTAAGACTCAAAAATTTCATGAATTCGTTTTTGTTCAATAGATTTTGTTGATACTACACCCCAAATTTTCCCCCACATTAAGATGAGACAAGAGAGAACCAACTTACACTAATTTCCTATAGAACGACTTTATCATTATCATAAATGGCTGTACAGCCCCTGATGGACTTTTGTCTACGCAAGTATCTTTCGCCATTGCAATCTCGTGCTTCTTGAGTCCATCTATTGTTTCGAGGTCCCGGATAATCCCACCAACGCAGCCTCGGTCTACCGGGTTTTCTCTTGCCACCGGGTTGTGACTTCAGTAAGGGCCGTTGGGTTGGTCATCCGCCATTCGGTGTACGTCCCAACCCTTTGAACCTGTTGCATTTTATGAATTAAATCAAATATTATTTTACGAATCTATTTAAAATATAGCTACTTTAAATATGGCATTTACGACTTACTTCCGGAGTCAAAACTGTATAATTAGATGTAAAAAGGCTGCAATTATGTATTCTATACGATATAAATTTTGATTCAGTTTAAACATTAATTACGTTTAAGATCTCTAGATTTTATGGCGAAACAAACATTATTATTTTACATTTTATTTAATTAATTCTTAAAGATATATATTTCCATAGTTGAATTTCCATATTAGAATCACTTTAAGTGGAACCTTGACAAGTCGACAGCCTCCAAAAATGTTTTGTTTCCTTTCCTTCAAGCCCCAAAACCTCCATTACTCGAAATCTCACAATAATCAGTGATTCCCTGCAACCCGTTTTAGTACACATTTATAAGTCCCATAATACATATTTATAACCTAATTATGTCTATAATTTGAATCTTATAAATTAAATCATGTATTTACCTCTGTAATTTCAATGTTTAATTACTTCACCTCTAACTCAAAATTAGTTAAGAATCAATCTCGTAGAAGACAAGTCAAATCAAAGTCCGCAAAAGTCAAAATCCTCCTTAAGTCGTATACTGTATAATTCGAATTTTGTAGCGTCTCCCTTGATGTTCGAGTTATAGAGGTTCCCACACTTCATAATCAATTATGAAGAAATATATTATAATAATTATACAAGGCATATTGTAGAGTAAACTAGTATTAATTATTAAGAGAATTTCGACTTTTTAAAATTTTTATTTAATATTTGTAAGTGTATCAAGGTAAACGGATAAAATGAGTAAACAACCTTTTAAATTTTTACGCAAAAATACAACCTATTATAAATATTCGTAGATACCTATAAAAAAACCAGTGGTACAACCTTACAAGATCTGGGCCTCAGATTTCTGTATATGTTTAGTGATCATTTGTTTTTTTCTAATAGGCAAGTAGGCCTTGTGTGTTTGACACACGCCGTTGATTTTTTGTGTAAGGCAGGCCGGTTTCCTCTCGATTATTTCCTTCACCGTACGAGCGAGTGCTATTAGTACCTATTGAATTAAATATCTTTTTCGTCACTATCTTTATGTTTTAGCTATTTATTTACCTTTATTAAGCCAGTGTTTATTTTACGCTGAATAAACAATTATTGCGAATAAATAATTTCTGAAGACGGTTTTACAACAATGCCCTCTTAGATAAATATTATATTTAAATTTAATAAATATAAAATAAATTAAAAGAAAACACTTTTTAACCGGATTGAAGTTATGTATTATTATAAATTTACAATTATTTTACATAATTTTAAATTTACCGACGTTTCGCGTGCTTTACAGCGTGCGTGGTCACGGTGACAATACGGTGAAATAAAAATAACGTTTAACGAAAATAGGACAACGGAACCTATACTTTTTTAAATTATTACAGAAAAATTCGTGGATGCCACCGCCTCAGCGTCTGGGTCACCATCACCTCCTCTACCCGAATTCGACAGAGATTCCCCCGTTGATGTCTCATCTACGTCAGAGGCTGGTTCCATGAGCGGAGGTCCTGGGGGCTCCAGGGCTCTCTCCCCTACCCCAAGAAACCCCTTGCTCGCCGAACGATGGTCCAGCGAAGAAATGAAACACATACAATGTCATTTAGAAACGAAGGAACTTTGGGATAAATTCAACGAATTGGGAACAGAGATGATCATTACAAAGACAGGAAGGTGAGTGTTTTTTTAAGTGTATTCTTGTTCCAACTGAGTCTAAAGTACAATAATAATATTTATTTTATAAAACCGCAATGTATGTGACTAGTACGGACGCTAGTTCCGTATTTAATAAAATTTCGTTGCAAGTATATTTAAATATAGTACAATTAAAATAATTAAATAAAAAGAAGGCCAATCGGCGGCCTAATCGCTTTCGAGCGATCTCTTCCAGGTAACCACTATAGGTATTACTGTTTTGGGTGACTAGACTACTCTTCCGTGGTATCAAATATGTTGTAATGTTTAATGGTAAATCTGTTTTATACAGAGGAAATAAATAAAAATAAATTAAGAAGCTAAGAAACGTTTTGCCACTTGTCATTATGATTAATTTAATAAAACTTAATTAACTAAGCGTTAAGTAAGCGCTAATTAATGGTAGGAATGTGTACGAACCAAAGACAGTATTGATATTATCTAAAGGCTTTTTCATTAGCTCACCTCTTTAGAAATGAAATAATGAATAACCAGTTGTAAAAATAAAATCAGTAGCGCTACAACCTCTTTAGGTCTGGGCCTCAGATTTCTGAATCAGTTTCATGATCATTTTTAAATCTAATAGGCAAGTAGGGGAAAGTTAAACAACAACAACACCGTGTCAGTGTCGGTGTCTGACACTGACTTTTTGGTTTTAAAACATGTCGGTTTCCTCACAATGTTTTCCTTAACCGTTCGAGCGAATGTTACCTAAATGCGCAAATAGAAAAACAGTCCATTGTTGCACAGCCGGGGATCGAACCTACGACCTCAGGGATGATAGTCGCGCGCTTAAGCCACTGTAAAACTTGTAATTTTTAGCACGAACCTCAATTAATAACACTAAGACTTGCACTCAACAAGTCAAACTGTGATCGGATTCCATTACTTAACTGTTAAAATGCACATAGATTTTTATATGATTTTATAGTATATGAACAACAACTACTTTGTTCATTTGCTAATATTGATTTAGCAACTACTTTGTATAGTGTATGTGAGTATATTCTGTACCTACATTGTTGAGTGGAAATCTCGCACGTTTATAATCCAATGCAATGTAGGTAATCATCAATATTTATGGTCTGGGCATATTTAAAACCCTGGTAGGTAAAACATATTCCGATACTTTAATGAGAATTTTGTGTTTAGCTGACGGTGGTAGGTCAGTAGTAATCGGAAGCGTGTTTGTAACGAGACGAAGGCTATACACGATAGCCGTTATGGTAGGTGGTAGGTTTTCAGTGGTGCGAGGCATGGCCGTCGCGCCTCGGGGCAGAACAATGGGCAATTGCCCAACACTGCCCGCGATCGAACAAACGGAATCGGTGTTCAAATCGAGCTAATTAGCTCGAAGATTTTGTAACACTGTTAGATGACTCTTTGTAATTGTGTGGTCCATTTAACTGGTGGTTTATTTCTGTAAACTAATTGATAAGCCGTCACTTGGTAAATAGGACTGAGAAATAGTTGTAGGTTTTTGCAACAAAATCAGTAGCAACAATCTCAATGAAGAAATTTTAAAGGGGAACGGGAAGCCTCCAGTGATGTGGTTGTCTGAGTAAAAGGGAGAAATAGGACTGAGAAATAGTTGTAGGTTTTTGCTACAATATCAGTGGCACCGTGAGCATCGCAGTCGGCGACGTTATCGCTACGACGTAAATCACCGCGACAGCTCACCGATCGTGACAAATTCGCTAACGCGGCCTTTGATAACACCTGCCGCCATTTTAGAAATACGCCTTATCACATTTATGACTTTATTCATACCTCATGATCAAGAAGTGTATCATGGTTTATGTATATATATGGCGTTCACCTCTGGACAGAGGGTTATCTGTCAGCGTAATTAATTTAACTGTGAAAAAATAGGCCATAAACGAAATCCCCGTCACAAAGGGATAATTTGCCACACGCGCGCTCTGCCCCGTCGATTAGCATAAATCTCGCCAACTAACCGTCACAAATGAACGTTGCCTTACTCAAAATCTGCGTGGCTAAACAAACAGCGGTGGGCTGTGGGCCGTGGGACGTGGGCTGCGGCTCGGCGATTCGCACGACGTTCGCGTCGCGTCCCCGTGACGCGGTGACGAAGCGCGACGAATCGCGGCCGTCGCCCGCTCATATAAATCAGCATTATCTCGCAAGATAGCCACGGCCGACCCCGCTAGCTCGTGTCGTTCGAAAAAATTAATGGCTCGGAAAAACGATTCGCTTATGAGGGATCTTTCAATGTAATTGAATTGTTCCACTGAGATCTCATTGTCGCAATGTTTTGCTGAATCAGGTGCTTTCGTTATTACTTGCTTAACTTAATAAGCCAGAACTATCTGTAGAAAACAACGACACAAAGCACATAAAATGTACCGATATAACTATGTACTAGAACATGTGTAGTACAATTGCACTGAGTGAGTCTAAATGAACACGGCGCACTTCTTGACATACTATATTATGTTATTTTTCTATGCATTATTTCTTTCTTTAAAAAAAAACAATGGAGGTCAGATTTCTGTAACTGTTTCGTGATCATTTGTTTTTCCTAATAGGCAGGTGATTAGCCTTCTGTGCCTGACACACGCTGTCGTCTTTCTCTAAGACTGATATGGGTTTTGTCGGGATCTTTTTCATTGCCCTACAAGTGTTAAATACGTACACAGAAAGGCAATTAGTACCGGGGATCGAACCTACGACCACTTTAGCTATTATCTATACATATTTATGTCTTCATACAACTGTATTATAACTTAAATACTGTTTTATTTCTTGTTACTTTATACTCAGAATCTTCTAAATAACAAAAACTCGAAAATTCAAATCAGTTTTCACTATAAATTCTTAATTTGCATATGGGACACAATAAAAATGCACACTAGTCCGGCTACTGCATTCATCCCCATGAGATTATCATAACAGGCGTAATAGAATGTAAATATGTCCGTCTGTGTAGCTAATGCGGTAAGCTGCGTTTTAAAACCCGTCTCATTGTTGCTTAAAGCGATCATTTTTCATCCGCTCAGCAAATATTTTGTCAGATGCAGTTTGTTAGGTAATTTATATATGAATTGGACGATTAACACTGTTGTATAACTAAGCATTACCTAGTAGATTGTTCGGTTTAGTATAGGACTTGAGAATCTTGTACAATATCAGATTTTTTATAAGACAAACCTTATCGTCCCTTTGTCCGTGTGTAGGTAAAGAAAAGTTATACTGAAAACATAAAAACAAACTAGCTAAAATTACTAAAAACTATTATTTATTATTTACTATTAGTTATTATTTTTATCTTTATTGCCATATTTAACGATTCGCAATAAAGAGATTTACTAACGTTTAGCTTAAATCTCAAATGTCAATTGTCATTATAGTCTCAATTCAAATTTTTGAGATGCTGTGGTCATATGAAATATATATAATTGAAAAACTACACTGAAAACCCACAAAAACTAATAAATTTACTAAAAATATATAAGACGGTTGTTATTTCCATCTTTATTGCTTAATTTAAATAAACGCAATAAAACAAAGAGATTCAACTTTTGACGTTTAGATTAAATGGCAATTGTCATTATCCATGTTCTCGATTCAAATTTTTGAGATGCTGTGGCCATATGAAATATAGATAATTGAAAGCTCATAGCTCAAATGATATCAAAGAAATACATAGTGGAGATGTCAGTTTGCCAACACATTATAATCACAAACTTGGCACACGACAACTGTCTTGATTTACTTCTCACCACTATCCTTTATATAAATTCACATTTCGATGATAAACGCGAAATATTACGTCGCGACAATATTACAATTTAATTGTTTTCGTGCTTTGATGTTAATGTTTACGACTTTATGAGTATAGGAAACTTTGATGAGAAAGATTCACTAGAATCCCTACTGTAAATAACATAAAAGCGACTATATTATCGAAATTTTATGACTGCGCTGTCAAATTATTTAGATCAACTTAATTTTTTCATGTTTATTTAGAATTCTTCAATTGTTTTATCTATTGTCTATATCGTAAACCAGCTGTATAATTGTTGCAGTTGTCTGTTCGAGGCAAGTTGTGAGAGTCGGAAATAAAATAAATTCGTGCAAATAAAATAAATTGTGATAATATTCGTCGCGCTAGGTGCACCGCGCTTACACGTACGTTGCAATTTATCGCACTCGTACGATAATTGTTGATATACGATCGCGATCCGACACTGTAATTGTCAACGCTTAATCTTCTAATTGGCTCGCATTTGCCAATGCCAGCGTGTCGCCTCGATTCGCGATAGTCCGCGATTCGAAAAAAAAAACGTACCTACCATTTTCGGTTATCGTAAAGCGCGATCCCGCGACGCCCATAAAAGTTGCGAGGAAGAAAAGCAATTCGCGACGCCAATTTCGAGAACAGTAAAAAGTTCGTTTCACAAGTGCAACTTGAAACGGCGTTTAAGAGCGAAGCAGGGCGGCGCCCACCCGGCAGGAAACAATTTGGTATTTTATCGGCGGTGAGGAGGCGCGGGTGACCGTATTGCTGATTTATATGCGCATTAGTCGACTCCGCGAGGTGAACGCGCGAAATGCAAGTGAACATCGCTACGTGTTAGATTACCCTATCGTTATCAGCAGGTGATTGTCTGCTTTCTCTTTACCTATGTTATAGTTTGGTTGAGTAGTATGTAGACTTATGTAAAATTTACACATAAACAATGTTATTCGTGTCAAATTATTGTTTTACTTTTCGCTTTCCAAGAAAATTGTCACGTAGTTTTTGACGAAATAAAACATCAATTCAATAATTTGCCGAAGCCGCGTACAAATTATTTGAAGAAGTGTATTAAGTATGAGGGTGTGCAATTATTTAATCATAAAGCGTAACATTCGTAATATTAGCGCGTTTAACCAATTCAAAAGGGCATTAAAGATACATATCAGGATGAGCCTAGTAGACTAAAATTGGGACGGCTTATGGCGACGTGTATCTCGTTC